CCGCGCGCGTGCACATCCACACCCACTACTGGTGCACACAGCCACGCACACACACCCATTTCACCCCTAAATCTGAACATCCCTAGGCACCAGCTGGTCCCAAACGAGTGCCTGCCCTGGGAGCCGGGTGGGCAGCGGGGCAGGAGGCTGCTGCTCTGGACCTGGGCACCCCACAGCTCTGGGAAGCCCCCCCGGGAGGATGGTGTCCCCACGTCGTCCCCAGCGTGGCTCTCCCGCGTACCCCCGTGGCTGTGTTTCAGCCCATCATTCCCTCCCGTGAGGCTTTTGCAAACATCGAGATCAGGGCATCCTCTCTTCTCCAGCCAGGACCAAAGGGTTGACCATCCCCATTTGCATCCTGCCCGCTGGGATCGACACGGTGCTGCCCTGGGAATGCCACAGCCGTGGCTACCCTGGGCCATCCCTGGTGGCTCTTGGCACGGAGAGGGCAGCCAGGCTTTTCCCTCCGGGGGATTTCTCTCCTCCAAACCCCCCAGCTATGGGGGATTCGCTTCAGCCCTGCCCAGGATGATGCCAGGTTACAGGGTGGGGATGGCATCACGGTGGGAAACACCATGGCCACTGCACCGGGCCGGCACGTCGGCGGTGGTGGGGACGGCCCCGTGCCTGGGGTCTGCTGCCTGTCACGGCCTCGTCTTATTTTAGAAACGGAGACGAAAACAAATGGAAAGACAAAGTGCCATTAGTTTAATGGCCTCTATGTTCCTGCCATCTGTCTTTGGTTGATTAAATAAAAAATATTGGTGGAACATATGGCATGAATTATACATAAATATTTTAATTTGGGTTCCCAGAGTGGTTATTCAAATACCTCCAGCTCTGCGGGTGAACTTTTGTGGAGTTCAGGGCTGAGCAGGCTGCGTGGGGCAGATTGCTGGTGGGGCACGAGCCCCTCGGGCTCCCCCAAACCGCCCTCTCCCCAGCCACGTTTGGGGTCAACACAGCCTTGAGTAAAGGCTGAGTAAACTCAGAGCAGCAGCCGAGCAAGGAGACTGCATGCTGCTCAGGGTTTTACATCTGTGTGGCAGGAGGAAGGTGCAGGCAGCATCCCGGCACAGCCAGGGCGGGTGGTCCGGCCCTCGCCGCGGTGGGCGAGCATCCCCCAGCCCGGTGGTCCCATGGACCTGTTGGTGTTTGGCCGCTCTCCCGCGCTCCTTGGCCATCAGCCAGTGGGGAAGGGCCGCTCCGGGGGAACTCATGGCTTCCCCTCCCGTGCCAGCACCAGCTCTGTGCTTCAACCCACCTTCCCGGGGCTTTATACGGAATAATACGAGGTGGTTTGGGACGCTGCCGGGGTGCAAACGGGACGGTCCCAGGGCTGTCCCTTGTCCCCAACATCCCCGCTGCCACCCACCCTGCTCCCCACCTGGGCTTGGTCCTGCCCGGCTACAGCAAAGCAGCACGGCATATAAAGAAGGGGCTTAAATTACCATCGTTAAGGCATCTGGAGCTCATCCTTCTCCATCATGAAGTGCGGAGTCGCAGGTCAATTACTGCACATTTGCATATATTCCATTAATGCTTCTGCTAATTGTCTGGAGGAGATAATGTGCTCGGCTTACAGCTCCCTCGCTGGCTACGGTTTACAAACAGCAAGTGCGGCAAATAGAGCCGGCACCAATGCTCCCCGTATCGGCAGAGGCTTGGGACATCGGGGGGGCTGATTGGGACTGGGGGGGCAGCCCACCCTGCTG